GCAGAGCTGGTTTCTGCTTGTGAGCCAGGCAGCAGGCAGGGCTGGATTCCAATAATAAATCCACTACCTCTTGTTGCTCAACAACAAGGGAATAAAAAGCATCTTTGTCCATGGGCTCTCTTGCAAAGGTTTCTGTTTCTTATTTACATTTTGTGGCTGGTCACCTCAACCACAACCTATAGATTCTGGTCCATGGCAGCACATTTGCATCCTTAAGCAGGTTATTAAAAAGCAGTGGCGTGTCCCTAAGCTGAAGATTTAATTTGCATGAGGAGAACACTAACCTCAGTAACTAAATATGTATTTTTTAAAGCTCCAACATTTTTTTTTCTTTTTGTTATTTCTCTGCATTTGCAGTTTCTTTCCTTCTACAGTACAGAAACAGTTGAAGCTGTTCCATCTCTCAGTGTGCATCCCTTTGGCATTCAGGGCTCCTCAATCTCTACCTAAGAGACTAGTTAGTATTATATAACAATAATATGAACCCAAAGAACCATTCTCTCCACATGTAATTGCTAGGAATGGCATACTATTTTTAAGAATTATTATTAGAATAAGATCAGTAGGAGCGAGAGGGAATGGACAGATGCCCGAGAAGTCAAATGACACAAAACATTTTGTACACATTCTGGGAATCTAGTTGCATAGTTTACTTGTTGGGAAATAGTGTATTATATGAACAGTTACATATCACTGCAACTTGCTCCTGGAAAATATGGACTTCTTGTTTGCCACACAGTGCCAGAATATTCCAGCAGTGAGACACTAATATGGTCCTGCAGGAATGTGCTTCCTAAGTATTAAGTTTTGTTTAGAACTCATTGCAATACGAGTTGTGAGGCTTGGGGTTTTTATTTTGTTAGTGGATGGAGATTTTTCAATTTTGCTTTGCTAGGCTGGAGTAAAAATTGGATGTGATTCTGTATTGATTTAATCTTATACATCTACAGGTAAGTTCAGTTTTCATGTTGATTTCTATCACTAAGTACTATTGAAAGCCCCTATCTGAAAGGGTGAAATTAAATATTATACTGCTAATTTTCACCACCAATGTATATAGATTAGTATCCATAGAGCTGCAAAAGTCCATAACAAAAGCAGGCCCATAAAAGCTTGAGCCTTTACAGCATACTAATGGCTTTCCATTAGGTCAGATTAATGCTTTCTGCTTGGTGAAAATAGGTATTTAGCAATAGTGCTTTCAGTTTGTGAGGAATAAATAACTGTTGGACCAAGTGCTTCACCCTTGGGAATAAATCTGCACTTAAGGTGCTTGTTAATAAATCACTTCTGCAGGATAATTTGTCACATCAGCAGATGCAGATCTGAGGATGTTGTTGGGTCCAGCAGCTCTCACATCCTCCCTTTGCATTCTCATTGCTGAGAATCAGAGAAGGGACAGATTGTGCCCCTGCTCGAGGTCCCACAGCCACCTCAGACACAGGGACAGTGCTCTGGGGTCAGCCTGGGGAGCTGGGTGTTAGCCAGCCTGCTGCTCTTGGGGGAACATGGGCTGTGAGCAGATCATCAAAGCCATCAGCAGGGAAGGATCCATATTTAACGTTACAGGAGGATCTGATATCAAATGGCTGCTAAAGCAGAACCTTTGCTGACATCAATAAAATAGCAAGGGTAAAGAAGTGAGGGTTGTTTTCTCTTTAAAAGGTGAGGAAATGAATTGAAGCCAGGGTCCCTTATCTCTGAGAAGATACACTCCAGTGAAAATGCCTATTTACATATGTTTGCACTTGGGTCTGTTTCACAGCACCAGAGCTTTAAATGGTTGTTGACAGTTGACTGGATGGATTTCAGTTGTGAGAGAGGGGCTATGGAGAGATTCGTCCCTTGGTGATTCTCTTCAGCCTGGATTTTTAAATCAGTGCTTCAAGCCATGTCAATATCCATATTGTTTGCAACCCCGGTGTTCTCTCCTTATAAATCTTCAAATAGCAAGAGACCCATTATCACATCCATTCCTCCTACAGCCCTGTTCTTCTCATCTGAGAAATGTGACTTGAAACTTCTATTAATAGTGAAGAGGTACATTTGCACTGCATTTTTCATGAGGAGGGTTCTTAAAAATGCTTTATAACTTCTACTAATGTCAATTTATATATAAGGATCTCAGATGAGGGGCTTCTCAGAGCTATGCTTTCTAATTGTTTGATATATAACTAATGGGCCCTACCACCTGAAATAAAACACTGAGTGCTGTGGTTCCTGGATGCCAGAGCAATGACTTTGTTTGTATGAAACTCCTGCCCCCTGAATGTCAATCCACTTTGAAGTGTCCCAAATGTGCTCCAAACTAAACAATTTCAGAATGATTATATGCCTCTGATATAGTTCAAATGAAATAAATAAAAATGGAATGCAGTTCCATTGGGTAGAAAGGCAGGATATTTATAACAGGTATAGTAGCATTAAAATAAAATTTAATACAAGAAATGTAAAATAAAAGGATACTTCCTCTATTTTAATGTGCAGGAGAAAGTAAAATTGAGGGCATTAAGTACTTGAAATTTAACTGAACTTTGCATTAAAGTTTTGAAGTCTTGTTCAGAAATTTATTATTCACTCCATATTAATAGCAAAGTTGGCTCCTGTTTGACTCATGAAACAGCATTTATTCTAGTGAAGAAAGACTGCAGTCCTATGGGAGAACCTCAGCATCATACTCACTGTGGAATCATCCTTAAGCAGCATACTTAAGGAATATCTCAGTTATTCACAGAAAAACTATCCAGAATGCAGAAAACTCCAGTTCTGGGCTTACTGTCAGTCATGCCTCAGATCAAATTCCGAAGGAAATCTGCAGGGTTTGTGGTAAGCAAAAACAAGAGGAATAAATTCACCCAGGGTCCACTCTTAAACACTGCCCTCAAAAAAAGCTTATTTCTCGACATGGCTGAAGTCACAGACATGGAAAAACTGTAACAGCTTCATTACAAATGGCATTTTACAGACTCTGACATGTTTGATTGGCTCAGTTATAGAGAGCAGTTGTTTCAAGTCTGATGTACCATTAATTACTTCTGTTTACCATTAATTGATTGCTTCTGTCCCACCTATGCTATGCATTCAGTCCTGGTTTGTATTGCAGTTTAAAAGCATGGATTCCAATTACCCCAGTCAGTGCAGTTTACACCAAATGACCACTTTGTGAGATTCAGTTTAGAGACTTTATCTGGCCCAGGGGAGTGCACCCTGCAGGCTGCTGAGGCTGGGAGAGGAGCTGAGTGTGCTCCTTGTTCCTGCCCTCCATACAGGGTGAGTTTGCAAGCAAATCCAGCGTCCCTTGGCTTACTTTGGGTTGCTGTGGTGTCTGGGGTTGGCTTTGTGTTTGGGAATAAACAAATCTTAATCAGGAAAATGGCTCTAGAAGGTATTTTCTTTATTATTACTTCTTTTTCCTGGCCCTTGACTGTCCGTGAAGCTCAGTGTGCCTGCCCAGAAGGCACAATGAGGGGTCAGGAAAGCACAGGAATGGATGTTTGTAATCCATAGTTCCAGCCTTGGCCTGCTAAAGGTGACATGTGCCACAAGGTTTATTTAATAAGTATTTAATTATTTAATTAAGTATCAGGTTTGCAGAATAAAACTATTTATTTAAAATGACTCATTTCTTGGACAAATTAATCCTTTTTTTTTTATTAACCCAACTTGGAAAGATAAGATAGTTTACCATGAGTAAAATGTAATGTTAATTCAAGTGAGAAAATGAAGTGGTAAGCTTTTTCAGCAAGGTAGGCCAGTTTAAATTAGTACTTCATTGTCTTCCATTTATTTTACACTGATGGGATTTTTGTTCAAGACCTGATTTTTCCTTAGCTGGACTCAGCTTTAGAGGGATCATATTTTTACCTTGCATAAGAAAATTTATCAAACTCTTGTGTTACAGAAAAAAAAAATGGGAAAATCTTTATTTTTCTCCCCTCTTGAATTTAGAAAAGGCTATAATTTCTAACTTCAAAGTTATTCCCATCCCAAACTAAAGAGTGAGAACAAACAAATCCTCAGAAGAGCCATGACATATCAGCAAGTTTCTTGTCACTGGAGCAGTGAGTTTAACTTGGGAGAACTGTGGGACTCAATTGTTCTTCAGTAAGGTGGAAGGAGGAATATTATAATGTGCAGTGAGATGGAGAAAACTTATTGTGACTGTGAACGATGTCTGCCTCTATGGCATAAAATCTTGCTCTGTATTTCAAGAAATGTCATTTAAAATGTAGAATGAGTGCACAGCAGGAATAATAAAATTGCCTGAACATGTGAATTTTAAGCACTAAACATGATACAGAAATAAGAAATTTTTTTGACAGAAACTTGTGGCTAATGTAGCTTTCTTCCTTAAAAATAATTGCTTCACCTGGACATTAATCTCTTGGCAGAAATTTTTGGGAAAATTAGATACTTCCCAGTAAAATTTGTAAGAAAATAAATGTTTTACTTAGATAACAAAATGGAATTGACAGCCTTCAGTGGTGTTAGAGTCTCACTTGCAGTAAAACCAGACCAACATAACAATTTTTTCTGAGTATAAATAAGTATATATATTTTCTATTATGGTGATAATAGCCTTATACTAACCCAAATGTTATGTTATCCCTAGCATCTTTTTCAAGTAGCATGTCTAGGCAACAGTGTCCCTCCTCCCCATCTGTTTGACTGATATTTTTCTCTGAAATCCTAAAAGGTGAAAACATTTAAGTTAAATAGTCACATAGCTCTAATTGCCAACTGGCAGGGAGCTCTGTGTGGCACTTCTTCCATCACCAATCGTGTCAGCTTCCAAGGAAGTACTTGAGTACAACTTATAATTCATAACGACTTACATTTTCTTTTTATCTTGCATCCTTCTCCCTGACCTTCTCTTTTTCCTTCAGAGCTCTTAATGACGAGAACTTTACAACCATAAACACAATTTTTCTAATGGACCCTCTGGGGAGAGGTTTTTCCCTGGTGCTCCTGACTCAGTATGGTGCTTTGTTCTTTCCTAGCTTGCACAGACAAAGAGCTGAGGAATCTGGCTTCGAGGCTAAAAGACTGGTTCGGTGCCCTTCACGAGGATGCGAATCGTGTCATCAAGCCCACGAGCTCGGAGACAGCACAAGGCAGTAAGAAAACCCCTTTCCCATTGAACATTTGGGTGTTGTAGGAGCTTCCCAACCTGGGAGCATTGAACTGAGCACAGCTGTTGGTGCTGCAACATCCCGTCAGGCAGGTGCCAGTGAATAAGCAGGTACCTGAGACCTGATCCTGCAAATAAATAATTTTCTGAAGGAGCTGCAGTGCTTCTGTCCTCTCTTTGGCCCAAACTGCTCTAAAAACTGGCAGTTAGAGAGACCTTCACAAGTTACTCAGGCAAATAAATGTCTGAAGGCCATGGAGATCACCACTGTGTGAGGTGTGTGTTTACTTTAAACACTGCTTTAAACTCAGAGCAATGGTCAGGAACTGAAACTGCTCAGGGACTTTTCTCAGGTGCTGGGGTTAATTAATATGGTGTAGTTTGTGTCTGTACAGTTAAATTCCCTCACCCTCCAATTCAGTGCAGCTGCATCCAGATAATTTATTGGGATTGGACTCTGGTCTCTGCTTAACCAGCAGTTTTATGGCCAAGCATTTTCTGACACAATGTCAGGGTCATAAGATGAAAATATGTCATACAGGCATGTGGAACATTATGCCAATATTGGAAAAAACTCACCTAGATTTTACTTTAAAATTTCCTGCTAACAGTTTATATAAGGGAGAGAATAATTAAAAGATCCACATGTGAGCCATGGAGCTAGAAGAGTTAAATGGCTGAGAAAGCTGGAGCCCATTCTGTGCAAGGTATTTAATAACACCATCTTTGCCTCCTTTGATGCATTTTTTTTAAGAAAGGAAGAAAATGAACAGTCTAGAGGACATCTACTCTCTGTAGGTTAAGCCAACATGACTGATTTTGATGTCATTTAGCCACCAGGGAGGGGAAAGATTCAGATAACAGCATTAAAAGAGGTCATGCTCATCAGAGAGCAGATGCAAATTCACTTTCTGTAAGGACTCATTAATTCTTTTAAACAGTATGTCCCAAAACACGTGGACCCTTGGGCTGCAAAGTAGGATGCACAAGTTTTATCTAGGTCTGTACCTCACTGTCACTTCACTGATTCTCTGAGATGAGCTGTCTAAAGCCAATGTCCAAACCCAGAATTTGAAGGGTTCAGTCAGCTGCCACTTTTATGGCTCTTTTCACCTGGTGTCCCTGTGGAGAGACACCTCAGAGACTGCAAGGGCACTAGAGCAGACCCAGCACATCAGGGTGGGCATTTTCTGTTGGTCCAGGTCCCCACAGCCTCCCTCTTTTGTGCTACATCTGAGCTGGAGGAGCAACAGATTGCCTCTTCCTAAAGAGGCAATATACCACAGGCTATATTGCTCAAAACTATTGTCACACTCAATAATTTCACTACAGATCTTAAAATTCTGTGGTGAAACATGTTATGTTCTATGTAAATGATCTTTTCTCATGTGTCCCTTATTTTGCATAGTATTTACAACAAAGTCAGTATCTTTAAAACCATATGTCCTACTTATTTCTGAAACAGTTCTCCAAAAAAAGATATTCTCATGCAGAGGATCTGAACCACAGTGCAGAAAGCAACTGGATGTACAGCTAATCATGGCTTCCAGATGTGAATTCATTTCAAACCCCATGACAGAAAGCCTTAGAGGCTTTAAACTTTGTTTGAAGTCCTTTTGACCCAGAATCACAGGAAATCTCATTTTATCAGATTGTCAGAAGGATGTTTTCATGCAGATGATTCATGACATTCTCATGATGACCTTGCCAGAGGCCAAAGACCAAATACAATCCTAAAGGTGTTGAGTCTTTTTTGGTTTTGGTTTGGGTTTTTTTTTTTGGGTTTTTTTTTTTTTTTTGCTTAAGCAGTTTCAGGGAGAAAAACATTCCTGGTAATTCTGCCATGTTTGCTCTGATTCACAGAGGAGCTGTTATTTCTTTTTAGTTTAGTTTGATTCCTGGCAGCTTTTATTTGAAAGGCTGCCTGATGATCTTAAACACTTGATCTCAACAATGTTCATTTTTAGACTGTTGACTTAGTTTGGCACATGCTCTTATTTTCTTCTAAATCAGTTAAAAAAAAAGAAAAGAAAAAGAAACTTTATGAGTTTAGATGCCTAAGCCATTTTTGAATTCCACAAAAGTTGGGCTTGTTTTTTCCTTCTGAAGTTTTGCAGCAGTATTCATGAATTAATCTGCATGTGCCAAATTCTGCAGCTCACATTCTCTCTGGTGGCACTGAAAATACTCACAGGGTGAGGATAGCAGTATTTAGCTCTCTCCAACTTCAAACATTTTTAAAAATGAAAGACGCCTTAAACAGAGCTCAGAATTCAAAGCAAAGTTCACATACCCAAGCTGTAGAAAAGAATGTATGTGGATCCTGGCAAACAGGACATGCACAGCTATGGAAATACACTCTGATGTACACATTGCCCTTTTATACGGCTCTGCATGTGTTACCCTCCTCACCACACACATCACTTCATTAAACTGAACTGCTTTGGTTGTGCCTGCAGAGTTTGAAAGCGCATGAACATCCTCAAAGTAATCCATTTTGGATGTGCCCCTGTGGCAGTAAAAGGAGCAGATGGTGGGATGCCATGACTGCGAGGCCTCGGACACATCAGCTGTCTGCAGAAGGTCTTCTAGCAGAGATTACTCTATGCTACATTAATTTTTGATGATGTTAGCGTGAGTGTAAATAAGCATTGTGAGTGTACTATGTTCACCCCCAGGTAAAGAAAAAAAGTACACTCCCTTTTTGTTTTCTTTGTAATTCTTTGAAAAGGATGAAGGAGACCATTGTTGTTTAGGTTTCAAACCTTCCTTCCCTGAGCTCTCTGATCCCAGCAAAGCACCATGGGCCAGGTACTTTGTCTTCTGAAGGCTTTGTGCAATTAAAATCTCCTCAATAAATGATGTAAGAAACTCAGGGACATGCTTTGACATAGGGAAATAATAAAACTAATTAGGTAGCAAGATCAGATTGAAATTGCTCCTGAGCCTGCTGATAATTCATAACATCCCTGTATTGTATCCAGAGAGTCTCCTTGGTTGGAGTGGGTGTTGTTTTTCTTATACTAGAGATCTGTGCAATATAAAAGACTTTTTCTGGGGAACATTTCTTCTCCTCCTTCTTTTATTTTAAGCAATGGGGGAAATTAGGTTAATTATACCCCTGTTAATTTAATTGTAGTATACTTTAATAAAATAAAAATGGCTCATGCAAGTCAACTCTTGAAGGGGGAAAATAATTTTTTCATGCCAGAAGGTGTGTTTATTTTTAATAAGGATTGTCACCTAAAGACTTTTTTAAATTTAATTCCCTTTTAATTCAGAGGAGGTAGAGCATTTTATGTGTTAATGGGTTGAGAGACTTAAACATATAGGTCACCAGCTTGATTTTCTTCCAGCTCTGTAGTGAATGAAAGTTGTCAGGATGCTGAACAGCTGTCAGTTGGAAAGAGGAACCTGATGGTCTCAGTCCAGGTCCTTGTGAGCAGGTGTCCAAATGAGAGCAGCCACCACCTCAGCTGACATTAACTGGCATGTGTGTTGGCAGCCTCTGCCAAGGAATCAAGAGGGATGTGGAGCCTGCACCATTCTCATGCTTCTCACCAAAGGCACTGCAGCACTGCACTGATAAACAGAAAGATGCAGAAAAGTTCTCACTGGGGTTACTTATTCTGAGTCTGTTAAGCTAGAAATCCAGTCTGTTAACCAAGCACTGAATTTTTACAGAATTTATTTCATCCAGAAGATTGCATCATATTTATAGATAAGTATATCAAAAGACTATAAGAAGAAGTTAATTTGTTCAATGTCACTTGGCCCCACCAGGCTGGTGGGAGCAGTGACCTCCCAGTGCAGGTAAGCAAGTTCCAAAAGCCATTTTCCATCAGCTGCCCTGGTTATGCTGTGAGTCAGAGCCCGTGTTGCACACGTAGGGCACATTTGGCTTTCACTCCTGGTGCTGGGAGCTGAGAGCATCCAGAACTGTTGGATTTGGGCTGCAGATGCAAAGTTGCAAAATGTGATTTATGGGCAGTACCTTTTAGCAGGAGACAATATCAAGTGGAGCTACTATTTACCTTCAACTACGTATTGGGGGACAATTAAAGAATTAACTACCCACTGAAAATAACTGTCTAGCTAATGACTTTCTGTCACACCTACCATGCCAATATTTCAGGACTTCCAGACCACATTGTCTGGCAATCCAGAAATGTTTAATAAACCACCCTTTTAATAAATCTAATCTGGAACTCTGGTCACAACAGTGACCACAACAACTCCCTTGTTTATAAGAAATTATAATCAAAACCTCTCCAACTAATGTAATTAACTGTCTTCTCGAGTGACTTTTCCCAACTGTATCTCCCGTCAAGCCCTGATGGTGTGTCACAGAGCAGCTTTGTACTCACAGCAGTCACTACTGGTGATTTGCCCAGGCAGGTGCTGAGCCCGTGCTGAGGGCAGGCTGGTGGTGTGTGTACAATCCCCATTGTACACACAGGTGGAGATTTCCCAGCAGGGAGGAAAACAAGCTCAGAAATAATCTACAGGCACTGTTGGGGGCAAGTCATCCCAGGATCTCCTCCTCTCTGTATTGATCCCTAGCAGTTAAAAGATGAGCTTTAGAGACCCATCAGGGCTGAGCAACACATACAGTCCTCAACTGATCATACAACACCTGCAGTTACTCATCTTTTGCAGCAGTGAGTGCCACCATGGCATGTAAACTCCATTGCCAGAGAGCATCTGTGCAGAAGAAGAGCAGACACTGGAAACTAATTTTTTCTCTTGAAAACTGTTAAACTGGGATAGCTGGAGCTGGTCCCAGCTCCACCGTGCAGTTGAATTATCCATCCCTGCCTGACTGCTTTAACCTGCCCTGAGGTGGGGAATCTAGCACCATACACCTGCACAGGGCAGGACTCTGTGCCCTGCTCCTGTTGCTCTGTAAAGGCAAAGGTGAGGAATCCTAAACCCTTTCACTTGACAAAAGATTGCACAGTGACCAAATCCTGCTTGCCTGCTTCAAATGACTTAAATAATTGAAGTCAATATTTCTAATTGCTTCAGCAAGGCAAGCAGCTCCCCCCTACATCTATTCAACACAGCCTTGTTCTTTTTCACTGTGCTCAAACATGATTAGATAATGTTACAGGAGATAACAGCATAAAAATGTGATGAAATGTTCAGCATGATTTCTCTCTTCCCTGCCTGAGTTGCCTCTAGCCCTGAGGAAATGGCGTTACCATCTTCCCTCCTTAGAGAAAAATGCTTTATGAGTGACACAAACTTTCCCATTAGTTAACCTTTCTGATTGTCCCTCTGTGTCACTGACAACCTTCAGCCACAGCTGCATACAAAAAACACAGCTTCCAGCACAAAGCCCTGCTCTCCTTTGGATTAATGTCTAAAATAGCAGGTAGGCTGCAGAGCTTGGACAAACTGTCAGCGTGATTCCAGCAACATCTCAGCTTTCACTTCAACACAGCAGCATCCTGAAAGGGACATGTACAGCAAATAAAGCTAAGCTTAACCTCTTTCAGCCAAAGGAAAAAGCTTATCAGGCTTCTGTACATGGCCCAAAGCAGAGTGAGCAGTGCACAGGCAGGTTATTGCTCACAGCTGGAGCAGTGTGAGCACCAGAGGCCCCGGGGTACCAGGAGCCCTCTGTCCCTGCAAATCCCCAACCAATGGATTCATGTTCCTGAGTCCTGGTTCAAACCAATACCCTTGTTATCAGAATTATTATCTCTGTATTACAAATGCACTTCCTTACATTGTAGATAACTTGAAATTTAGTCTAAGCATTGAAAAAATACCATGGCAGTGTGGATTTATAGTGCCCCATGCCACTGTTTTTCTGGAGATGGCAGGATACTGGAACGTGTAGCTCATATACACAGTGGGGATCTATATGCATGACTTGGGCTTTCTGTGATAACCACTGCTGCTGCAGCAGTCTTTGAAGAATCTGTGCTATTAAAATGAATGATGGTGATGGTTTCCAAAGCGCTGGAAAAGCAGAATCTTGTATTGCTGCAGAATCCTGGAAGCTGCAGGAAGGAGTGGTGCTGGTGCAGCGTACAAGAGCATGGGCAGCTCTGTGCAGCTCCAGCTGAAGCAGTGCCCTCCCTCAGAGTGGTGTAAGAAACAGAGACACTTCACCTCTTCTCTCTCCCTGCCTCCCCCAGACAGCTCACAGTCCAGATCAAAGCAGTTTGTTGTCAAAAGCCACACAGACAGGCCTTTGAAGAGTGAAAAGCAGGGATGAGAGGTAGAAGGTGAGAGCACAGCAGGAAAGAATTTGATCAGGCAACTAGAAATGAGTCTGGGAAACAGGATTTAAATTTCATTCAGATTTAGTCTAGTTTGAAAATATGGTGGATGCAGCCTTTTCTCATCACATTTCAGTTTCCTGGAACCAGGCCAACCCACTTGGACTGAGGACTGAAAAAAAAAAGCAAGAATTTTTTGAGTAAAAATGACTTTGAATTCCAGAAACCAGTTCTGAATCTCAGCCCTCTCTACCCCACAGCTCCCACAGAGTGTGAGTAGTTCTCTAGTTTGTAGCTGTGCTTGGGCTTTAAGCTTTACACAGTCAGTTCAGTCTTAGGATTTTGTTCTGCTTTGGGCAAGTCAGCTCAATGATCAGAGTCCAGCCAAAAAAAAAAGAAAAGCAGGCAAGGCTTCACCTTAGCAGTGGTTCCTGTTTTGGGGGCATGCCGGGGATCAGCTGGGGAATATTTGTATGTCTTCTTACAGGATTTGACACCAGCATCCTACCAATCTGTAAGGACTCCTTAGGCTGGATGTTCAACAAACTTGACATGAACTATGACCTGCTGCTGGATCCATCGGAGATCAGTGCCATTTATCTGGATAAGTATGAGCCGTGTGTCAAGCCACTCTTCAACTCCTGCGATTCCTTCAAAGACGGGAAGCTTTCCAACAACGAGTGGTGCTATTGCTTCCAGAAGCCGGGCGGTGAGCTGTGCCATTTGCAATACAAGGAGGAGCTGTTTGGCTCTCCCTGTTTGTGTTTCAGGGCCTGCCTGTAGAGATTGGTCATTGGCAGGCAGGTGTGTTAAAAAGCCCTTTTCCCCAGCAGCAGTGTGAAGGGCATTGTGGAACCTTGTTTAATGTCACAGATGAACTATATTAACATGCCTTGATCATTAAAACAAACAAAGTAGTAAGTGTCAGTGCACACAGTCTAGAAATAAACTCTATCACAGACAGAAAGTTCAAGAATTTATCTTTTATTAACACAGAATTGTGTCAATTGCCAATTAGCAAGTCATAAATCAGAGAGCTGGCATGATGTCAGTTTGGTGAAAAGAGAGGTAGGATGGTTTAACAATTAAAATGGCCCCCAAACACTACTCTCAACTACAGTGAGTTGCCTTTTTTTTTTTTTTTTTTTTTTT